GCTGGTTGGGCTTCTTCTCTCACAGCCGCGAGCTCGAAACAGACTAGAGAATTTACAAAGAGACTAGAGAGTTCGAAAACGAGGAGCAAACCACTCGAAAACAACTAGAGACTTTCAGAAGAAGGAGCAAACCGCTCGAAAGAGACTAGAGAAGACGGAGCAAACCGCTCGAAAGGAACTAGAGAATGTCAGAAGAAGGAGCAAACCGCTCAAAAGAGACTAGAGAATTGCGAACGAGATTAGAAACATTGAAAACACGGAGCAAACCGCTCGAAAGGAACTAGAGAATTTCAGAAGAAGGAGCAAACCGCTCGAAAGGGATTAGAGAACTCAGACTAGAGAACTTGAAAAAGACTAGAGAAGTTGAAAACAAGGAGCAAACTGCTCGAAAAGAACTAGAGAATAGAGAGTTTGGAAACAAGGAGCAAACCGCTCGAAAAGAACTAGAGAATTTCAGAAGAAGGAGCAAACCGCTCGAACGAGACTAAATAATTTCGTAAGACTTGAGAAACAGGAACACAAGGAACAACCGCTCGAAAGGTATTAGAGAATATGTTTGGGCAAGGAACCTCAGCATGCTTGCAGCACCCTGCATTCGCTGTACCGAAACAGGCAAAAGCATAAGTTGGATAGTTTTGGGTATTGTCAGGGTAGTGGCTAGTGGCATGCATGCTACTGGCACCACACAATGCAAACTGCCTCACGCCACTCTTGGAGGACGCTGGACCTGCTTCATTGCTGGCAGATGTTCGCCACGCTTGCTAGGCTCGCACAGCATCCAACAAAGGCACTGGCACAGTGGGCTACGGCTTTTTTGTTGCCTTGATTCTCTAGGAGAGGAAGCTCCAGACTCCGACACAGGGCGCACCCAACAGCAGTCGGAGAATCTATATGTACTAGTATCTAAAGTCAACTAATTTGTTCCCATAAGGCCTCTGGCCCTGGGAAGGCACTACTCTTCTGAAAAACGCGGACGGGCTCCCAACAACTCAGCAACCCGACCACGTAAGTTTGGGCAATCCATGGCAATCAAAGAACCACAAGCTCACTGAAAGCTGTGCTCTGATGGAAGCCCAAACATCGTAAACATGCTTCACCTGGGGATGCGAGTCTCGTGAAGTGCAGTGATCCTTCCGGACTCCCCACCTCTTCGGTCCAGGAAAGTGATGCAATGACCAGACTCTGCATGGAAGCTGCATTCCCCTCCGCCCTTGCCGTAGCCTTTGACCTCGGGGAGTTCGCGCTTGTTGGTATCGATCTGGATGGAGTCGAGCTTTGCTCCCATATAGCAGTAGAGGCCTGTGATGTACTCGTCTTCGTCCAGCGTGAAGGTAACTTGATCACCACCGCCGTGCTCACCAACAGATTTCTTTGTTCCATCAAAGTACTCAAAAATGATTTTGTCAATGTACTTGCACTTTCTGACCGTGATCCTGTGGACCATTTTGCGGTGTTGCTGCCTGTGATCTTCAAGACGCGAAAATGGTATGCTCTTCCTGCACTTGTGGCACTCCACATCCCGATTCGGGCACTGGGACCTCTTATGATCTTCCAGAACGTGAAATTGGGTTTGGCCGCCACACTTCTCACACAGGACTGCCCGCATGGGGCAGGATCTTCTTCTGTGGGTCGGAAGATCGCTTCTTGTCACCCTGGCCTGGCACTGTTGGCAATCAACCGGGGCTGACATACAATCTGTCTGTTTGTGCCCGGGCAGATCCTGTCGACGCACTGTTCGATTGCACCTGCAGTCAATAACATGGCTCAAGAAGGCAAGGCATTTGACAACATTTGCCATGCAATCCAAAACCAACTCAGCTGGGCACAGGTCGCAAGCAATTGATTTGCCACCACAAACAGCTTCATGGGCATCCCTCTCCTTGCTGACATACTCTGCATTGCAAGCGCCGCAGCGAACCGTGCGGTAGTCACACGTTTGGGCCTTGTGCCGCATCATTTCTCGCTGCAGCACCTCAGGTGTGCATAAGAGACTCAGCAGAGAGCGGCCGGGGGCTCAAGACAAGATCTCTATTTACTTCAGTCTTCCTAGTCTCGGCTAGCACGGATAGGACGCCAGCCTGCTCTCCACACTGGTCGCACGCCTCTGTGCGCTCAGCGCAAAGAGTCGCGCGATGCGTCTCCATGTCTTTCCGCAGCACACGTTCAGCACATAAGACGCACCTGAGCTGTTGGAAGTCGCAAATCTCCACGTGCCTGTCGATCTCGCCTCGGCGGATGCGCTCTTGACACCCGCAGAGTTGATTTGGGCAGGGAGCCTCAGCCTGCAAGCATTCATAGAGCTCGTGCCAAGCCATCTTGTTGCACATCACTTGTTCGTGGCATCCTGTACATGCCACTGGTCGATGTTGACAGTGGTCCCTTTTGTGCCCAATCAGGGCCTCTTGTGTGACCATCTCGCCGCATCCATAGAACTCCTCGTTGGGAGCCCTTGCGCATTGGACAGGCCTCTTGATGCAGTCGTTCATCTTGTGCTCTTCCACCTTCGAAGCAGAGAGGAGCACCCCACAATTGCTGCACATCTCCGCTTTGCTTGCACTCCAACGTTTCTTCATGGTGTCGTGCAAACCTCGCAGGTAGGAGCGACATGTCTCGTTCACTGCAATGAACTGGTTGATGTTATTCTCTGCATGTGCAAAGTCCTCTGACTGCGGACTGCCCATTTGTATCCTCCACAACTCCTCAAGTTGAAGCACCTTTTGCACAAAGACCCGCTCCATGCTTCGAAGAAGCTTGTCGTGAGAAGCGAACTGCTGCATTTGCTTTGCTACCTCCCAGAGCGGTACGAGGGAGTCTTCCGAGAAGGAGCGTGCCAGAACGGTCCAATTACCGTTAGACTTCGAAGCATTCGCAGCAAGCGCATCATCGCTCAAGAAAGCAAGTCCTGAATCCTGCTCTGCCCAGAATTTTTTATCAACTGTAACCTCACTGGACTCAGCCCTGCCAGCCTGCCTCTCAGCAGATGCCTGTGCATTCTCCTCGTGCCGGTCCGTGGCTGCTTCAGCTCTTCCCGCTCCTCCAATTCCAGAATAGCTTGCGGATGCCGACACCGATGAGGAAAGTGCAGAGGCAAGCGCTGACCGACAATCGGAAGTGGTCACCTCGCCATTCATGGCGTACTTCGCGATATGCACGCGCTCAATGCCCAGCAACACATCGACGGCTACGTGGGTTCCCCACTTGTTGAACCAGCCAATGCATGACAGATCTTCCTCCGGCGAATCTATCTTCTTGGCCTTGGGCGAACCACGTCACTGCCGATAAACTCCAATTCTGGAAACTCTGCTCAACTGAGGTAAGGGCAACTGCTAAAAGCTCTCGGGTAGCCATTGGAGAGAGCTCAAGGAGCTCAGGACCAATGCGAATCCTGCCGCTGCGCTGGTGTATGTTCAGAATAACTACATGTCAGCTTGCGTAGCAGATATAAACTGGACATGATTGGGCACGTGCTCAGTGCGTACTCGCTAAAGGGCTCTGGACGGCTGGTGCCGTTTGATATCATGCAGCCCCTAGCACGGTCTGGCCGACAACAGCCGGTCTTCATGACTGACTCAGGATTCATGAATAGTCTTCTGATATCTGAGCCTACACGTGGCGGCTGATGGGCCTGTAACGAATTCTAAATAGTCTTTCAACGCCAATATAAAGTTCTGCCAGCTATCCTTCTGCGATATCATGTATGCGGAGGCTGGTGATGGCAGTGGCATCACTTGCAAATTAGTGGAACCTGCTTGCGCCTCGCATCTCTCACGGTGTTACGGTGTGGCGCACAATGGTGACGATAGCTACACGCGCGTAAAAAGGTGATGATAATAAAAGCCCGCCAAAAATTTTGAGTTTAAGTTGTTGCGACGATTGCACGTGCTTTCCCAGGGTCCTGGTTTGGGGAAGCGAGTTGACGCTCAGCATGCACCACGTGGTCTCCTTCTTTCCTATGGCCCCCTCATTCTCACTGATTTCCTCCTTGGCAGTCGAGATATCCGCGCTCATGGAAAAGGATCCCACGCCTGACCCCATGAAGGCTGAACCAGCGAGCGAGGCATGGAAACCGAAGGAATTCGAGTGCTGCTCTCGGTGCTTCCAAGCCTTCTGGTACTGCTTTTCGGTCATGAGCTCCGAAGTGTAAACGCTTGTTGCGGTCTCTCCAAACTTGAAGATGTTGGCAAGGTCATCCGGAGTGGTAGCCTTGCTCCAACATACCGGCATTGCAAGCTTAAACAACTTGCCTCCGTCCTTCACTGTCATGGGGTCCAAGTACAATCCATTGAACATGCTGGCACCGTTCACAAGCTCAGATGTGGTTTTGTGACCAGGTGGAACGTACTGCTGGCTGCTTGCCGTCAGCTTTGCTTCCAGCGATGCTACATCCCTGCAAAGGCTGAAGTCCAGCGATGGCAGATCAAGTTGACGCATATCGTTCATGAGGGCATTCACTGTCTCCTTCACAATGTTCGCCTCATTGGCCCTGTTGGTTTTTGCCTTGTTCGCGGCGTCTGCCTGCTTCTGTTTGGCTTGTGATATGAACTCATCCCACTTCTTGCTGCACTCGTCTGCTTGGCACATCTTCCGCCTGTACTTCACCATGGCCTTCTCATGCAGCTTGGCCTCTTCCTCAGCCTCAGCTTCACCCTTGACTTCTCGCAATGCCTCCCACCTTGCATTTTGTCTTGCACCTGACAACTTCTGGCTAACTGCCGGAAGTCCATCTGTAGAGAAGTCGCAGCGTGCAAGCTGGCTTGGGCGCTCGATCCCGTCCTCGGCAAGCGCGGGGGCTAGGGCCACGAGGTTTCTGGACTTGAGATGCAGCTGCAACTCGGGGCTCAGCTGCTTCAGCTCAGGTGGGTCCGGCGTGCGGACTTCGATGTCCAAGGTGATCTTGGCAGTGGGCTGGGGCTGGGCTGGGGCCGGGGCTTCGGTCGGTGCCATGATTGGTGGAGCTGGTGCTGCAGGTAGGGCTGCTTCCTGGACCGCGTGGAATGAGGATTTCACGTGCCCCCAGAAGTCGACAATGCTTCTAAACATCCCGTGCTGGCCGTAAAAGCAAACTTCAGAGTCCTTCAAGAAAGTCATCTTCCCTTCCAAACATTCACGAATCTGATCATCTGTGGTCACGGAGGTAAGTGTAAGGGGAAGGCTGAAATTTTCAACGGAGTCCCTGGTGGAGTATGGATGCTGCAGGTCGAAAACGACAGCTGTGATCTCCAACTGATTCACCGTGACACGGATCTCCCGCTCTTCAAGCTCCACCGCCCCAAACTTCTCAAGCAAGGTCCGTAGGCTTTGGTCGTCATCAACCTCAGTGGGCTTGCCTCTCGCCAAGGCATATGAAATCGTAACCGAGCTTTCGTCGATGCCCTTGAGGCTGTCCATCACCATGTCCCGGAACTCGGAATGCTTTGGGGAGGCCTTGCGAACCACACGCTTGCTCTGAACGCCTGGCTGCTCTATGACAAGCATGACCTCAAGACCGATGTTGCCCGAGATCTGTTCGAGTTCCAAAGGCTTGCGGCTGCAAATAAACTGAGCAATCTTTGCCAGACTTTGCATATTCCTCCCACGATTCAAGCCTTTCTTTTTGACAAACTCGCTTGGGGATCCATACTTCTTCTCCATCAACTGATGAATTTCTGGCAAATTCAGGTCGACCATGGGGATCAAGCTGACCAGATCGGCGATGTTGTGACTGGGTCCGGCGACTGGCTGGAGGATATCCTGACTTCACAATTGCACATATCAATGCGAAACTGCGGACTGATCCAACCTTGATTTCAATACTACTCCAGTAGCAATTAGCAAGCGACCAGGATTCACTTCACATGTCTTCCTTACTATACACTGCCTCTCAGCATCAGCCTACACATGCTCAGCGCAGGCTTCGCCATGCAAAGCAGGGTTCCGAAGCTGTCCTGCAGAATCTCCTTGAAGCTCTTTTTGAATCTCTCCAGGTTGCTTGCAGCATCCTCGTTGTCTTCATCATCTTCCACCTTGTTCGTCAAGGTTTTTGGTGCCTTGTTGCACACTACCACCAGGTTCTTCAAAGCCTCAATGCCCAGAAAGTCAACGTAGCTTGCCACCATGCGCTCTCTCGAGCTATCCTGCTTCACGCTTGGCTCTTCCAACCAAATGATGGCGCTGACCTTGTTGCACTTTTCCTTCAAATACACCTTCATTGCGCGGAGGACATCTCCATCTGACTTGCCTGGCACATTGCCCCCGAGCCCAGGCACATCGATGATGCGAATGTACGTCTCAGAGAAGTTTGACCCATCTCCAAAGTCGGGACCGTGTATGTGGCCACCCAAGTACTTGACCGGATCCTCTGGTTCGGCAACCTCAACGGTCCCTGCTCCTTTGTCATGCGAAATTGCAAAGACTTTCGTGTCGAAGGAGTCAGATAGCCAGCAGCACAGCGTTGACTTTCCGACGCCTGTCTTGCCTTGCACCAAGACGATGTGCGGGTCACTTTGCGAACCGCTTGGCATGTCGGCGCTTGTATCCTGACAGAGCCCAGCAGCACAAGTATATGCATCACATGGCATCATCGCATGTCTAGATAAATTCTTCAGCGCGCACAATATGTCAATATATGTCAATATGCATAATTGTAGACTCTCTGCCTGCGGCTGCCAACTGCAGGCCGATAGAGGATGATGGAAGGGCGGCAAAGAAAACAGAACAAAGGCAAAGACTAGAGACCAAATGGCCCTTGAACCAAAGCCGCCGCAAACACGCAGGAAGCATATCAAAACTCAAGATGGGCAAGGACAAGTGCACCCGATGGCTGTGCATTTGCCTCTGCAGTCTGATGCGAACATGACAGTCTTGGGCGGGCAGCTGTGACAGCGGAAACTTCCAACTGAGGCCTCGTTGTGTTTTTTGGCGACACTCATCTTCCTGGCGCTAAATGGAGTGTGCTCAAGGTGCTTGAAGGGGCCACAAATGCAGTGAGCAGTGGCTCTGTGCACGTAAGGATACAGTGGCCCCTCGTGTGTTGTTCTTACAAGGCACCCTCCGGCCCATACCGTCGAAGGTTTACTGATGCAACTGTGTCCAAAAGTCATCCGCGCATACACTTGCAGCCCGTCAGCCTCCAAGATCAGGCGCATTATGCGGCAGCGCCAGCCTGCAGGCATAATCAAGGTCAAGAAGGTTGGGTGAAAATGATGCGACGTGGACGTTCAACCAGCCGTGGGGAGGTAGGACAAGAAACTGCCGAGGACGGCAGGACAAGAAATACATGAGGAGTCACAGCGATGGCTCCACGGATGCCTATCCAAAACACGACCGGAAACAGGAATGCCCGAACCGACTGTTCTGTGCGGCCCACGGCTGTGCCAAACATGCTTGCATCTGTAGTGCGCTCGCAAAACTAGATGCCCAGTGCGAATCTGAAACCACCGGGTTGTCATCAGTTGAGAACTTTGGCAACTTCTTTGGGAAGCCTGCGCACCTCGCCTTAGGACACGGACGCGGGCACCACAGCTTTTGCATCTGCCTCCCATTCAATGACGAGCGCGCACTTCTTTCACACGAGCTTGCAGCTTGTTGGTATGTGGAAGCGGCAGAAATCGCGGTGGTAAAGAGTAGTTGATGCGAGGTTCTGGAAATCACAGAGTGAAGCTATGGACATCATAGCCTGCTCATGGGAAAAACACCATTCAATGCACGTGGCACGTGAGGCTATGGAAATCACCACGTCCCCTTTAAAAACACTGCCAAAGATTAGCACGTTAGGCCTGGAAATCCCGCTGGGAAAGCCCTACGAAGACCAGCATGCCATGGAAATTACAGTAGCTTGCTACGCAAAGTGCCAAAGGAACACCATGCCAGGTTCTGGAAATCACAGCCTGTTGCTTTAAAGAAAAGAAGTAAGAAGATCCATACACGAGGCTATGGAAATCAGAGCCTGCTATTGAGGGGGACGGAAGGCCGAAAGATCAGCATGTGGTGATTCTCGCAGCGAATGAGAAAAGTACTCAAAAGATATGCGTCCGAAGCTGTGGAAGTCACAGCCTGCTATAGGGGATAGCGCGGAAAGATCAGCACGCAAGGTTCTGGAAACCACAGACTGCTATAGGGAACAGCGGAATCTTAGCCTGCTATAGGCGAACGCGTCAAGAATCAGCATGTGAGGCTATTGAAATCACAGCATTATGCCGGGAGAAGACGCATGCAAGGTCATGGAAATCACTACCTAGACGTAGCATTTCCAGAGGAAGTTGATGCGACATGCTCCTGGCCACAGTTCCACCACGAGAGGGACTTATCAGGCAATGCACGCGTTGAGGGCCTCAAAAGCAAGCCTCCGCCTCATTCAACGCTTCTTTGGGTTTGCGTTGTCGTTTTGCTCTGTCGTTTTACAGGTCACGCACTCAATGGTGCAGCCGTAATATGAATTCATAAAATTGGGTTTCTGCCCGAACCGAGTGCACATAGACTAGACTGGTAACTCTGGGCCGCGCGCCTGTCCGCTGCAGAAGTCCTCCAAGCAACCTGGGCTGCCGCGCAGAGCCTTTCGCAGCACCTCGATGAGAGGATGAAGTGGAACAAGCTAGGAGCTGCAAGAATTTCTTGAGCCTCCCAACCATTCCAGGCCCCCTGGAACAGACACATTCTGCCGCACTCTACCAGCGAGGATCCAGAGCAGGTCCTACTAGTAAGGTCAAGCTTGCAGCTTGGGATGATTGATTCTCCATTTAGGGTCTGTGGCCCTGGGGTTTTGGATGAGCTAATTACTCCCCGTTTTGTTTTCTGGAATGAGTAGTTCTCCTGTTGGGGATTAGGGGTGAGTTGCTCTCCTTTCGGGATCTGGGTTTCTTTTTCTTGAAGGATTTAATTACGGTTTGGGGACTGACATACTTCGACCACGACTTACTCTCTCCTAGGGAATGAGTCGGAATGAGCTACTAATCTTGGAGTGTTTCCGGCTTGGAGCGAGGTACTCTTCCTTATTCGAGTTTGGGGTTTGGGGTTGGGGATGAACCACTCTGCGGCAGCTGGGAGGGTTTGGGACTCGGGACTCCTTTGCAAACGCTTACCTGGTGAGCAGATTGCGAACCACTGCAATGCAAAACTCTGAACGTTGACTATGACCCTACTAGTAAACTAGAAACTCCTAGAGTCCTAAAGTCCTGAAGTCCTAAATCCCATGACAGGAGGACCTATAAGACATGAGACACACGTGTGAACACACAGGGTGAAGGCACAAACACGAAGGCACACGCGCTCGCCAGGATGCACAGCGCACACTTGCACCAGGCCATGTCTCAAAGCAGAGTTTCAGCAACCAAGAGCGTACAGTCGACCAAAACGCACACCTTGACCAGAATAACAGCCAACACTCCCGCCATGCAATCATTCTTTTCAGACACCTGTCATGGAAGGATTCCCTGGAACGAGCGCGGCGACATCACGCTGCCTGCCTCACTCCTGCAACTAAGTTATGCCGTTACACCTTCTGCTGGTACAGGACCAAACAATGACAAAGACAACAGAGCTTTAGGCTTAATCTCCAACATGTATTGCGCAAAGCATGCGAAGCCAGGCCGCATGCTCATCTTGCGTGTCAGCTCTATGGTTCTGAGCTTTCTTTCGTGCGATGGTGATACTGTATGACACTGTAGTCTTGACACGCTGCCAGTCTTCTCCTCTGATTCCAAACTGACCGGCCCATGTGCTGAGGCGCAAGCTACGTCATATCTGCGAAGGCCTGAGCCAGCTTGCGCGTACATGCTGGGATTCAAGCAAGTGACCGTGTGCTGCTGAGGTCGTCACTCTTGGCTTCGCACTTGTGGGCTGCCAGAGAACAGCAAAGGGAAGCGGCACGGTATGTCAAACTCCTGGTGGCGAAGGTCAGTTGAGTAGCTGCAAGCACCTGCAAGCAGCTGCAATCCAGTCAGGCGCACCATGCTGCAACGCAGTATCAAGTTTGGAAACGCAAGCTTGTAAAGACTCTTGGTTGGCATTGGAAAGGCAACGTGGTCCGGGAAAATCTGTGAATGACTGAGCAGAATCCCAGATGGAGGGGATGGCCCGGTCTTCTGCAGACTAGCTGGGATCTTCAATCCGCAGGTCGGCCTAGGGTTGTGAGATGTTGTGATAACGATTTTTTTTGAGTTGGCCGTTGGCTCCTCTTCCGAAGGGGGACGAGTTGCAAAAAGAAAGGGCATAACGACTAAGCGTTACAAAAAACACAAGTGCTGCAAACCCTTACGGTATGTGCTGATGCAGGCAGAGAAGCTAAAGCGCCTAGACCCTTAAAAACAAAAAGAACAACAATAAATACGATTACGAATCTCAAACCCGAAACCTGCTTGAAGCACAATAAAACGAGACTCAACATAAACACGCTAAACAACCCTACATCCTAAACCTTACACAAGCACACCCTACCAACTGAAACTTACCCACGATGTCTGCGTGAGTGTAGTCAGCGCACGCTCGTGTGAGAGGGCCACGTATGTTCTCTTACAGCTTGAAGCTTCGTGCAAATACATACAGACGCAAAGGCAACACACATGAAGACAGCAAGTCAGAAAGATCTACGAACAAACAGATGTGTCTCAGATGTGATGAAGAACCTCGAGAAGCGGCACATAGAAACATAAAGAACTTATGTCAGAGATGCCTCGCTTCGTGTCTTCTTATTAAAGTCTGAAGCCTGGCTTTAAGGTTCCGGCTGCAATGCTGAGACAGCTGAAACAAGCCGCCGCCCGGCCAGCGCGGGCAAGGACACCGCCCCAAACAGCCTGTTGGCAGTGCAAGAAGAGATTGTTTCACTTCTTCCTCGCTTCTTCTTCAACAAGCGAGGTACGTGTCAGGGGAGAGATCGCAATAAAATATCTTTTCAAAAAATCTCAGGTCTCTGATGCAGAGAAGCCTGGCCATCCTCAAGAATCGAGCTGCCATGGCAAGAAAGCTTCTGAAAACTTCTGCGCACATCACCGCCTTGAGCAATTGAGCGCCTCGAAACTGCCTTCAGCGCCTTGACAGGCTCTGCCAGTGTTTCCCGCGCATTCTGTGCTGTCTGCGCTTATCGACTAGAGGCCTATATGGCTAGAGGCTGCAAAAATTATTTTGACTTTGTTAGGGACGGCCGAGTCTAGCCGTGCTAAGCTGAGCCAAGTGTCAAACACTGGATGCAGCTGTGATTGTCAAGAGCTTGAAACAAGAGCTTGTCGGCCCTAAGCCGCTCTGTCGGCTGATGCAGTACGTGGACATCATGTTGACATATGTTGACATCCTACAACATCTTGCATTCAGACACGTTCGGATTCGCACCCGCTTCACTCCTCTCCATCCCACTCCAAACAACCTCTGCAACGTGCCTGATAAGCTTCATGCCTTTGTTTGACGGTTCAGAGTCCATGTAACCGCTCAAGGTGTTGTTTTGTCACCCGCTCACGAGCGTAGAAATGATCTCAAGTTACCTCCCGTCCATCATCAACTACTTGCATCTACTTGCCAACGCCAGCTTCTGCATTGGCCAGCTGCGCAA